TTGAACACGTCCTCTACATTAGCTTTCCTTACTGAGACTAACTAAAAATGGCTCCCTTCCCTTCCCAATTTCCCTGAACAAGGGGCGGAACCAAAACTTAACGATGATGGACAGGTGACTTACCCTACGACTGCAACCAAAGGTAGCCACCTTTCTGCAGAATCCCAGGAACCTTGGACTGCAAGCAAACATTTAATACAAAGCAAATAAAACAAGCTCCTGGTACAGCTGTACCAGCACAGCGTGTTTTCAAACTGCCAGTTTGGCAGAATCTGAGGTTAACAGCAGGAGCTCACCCCACTCCCCGGATTTGATCTACCAGCCTTTCGGCCAGCAAGTTCAGCAGCTCAGCGGTTTAATCCGCTGCACCACCAAGGGGGGAGGGCAGTCCTATACTTCTCAGCAAATTTTCAACACAAGTCTCGACCAGGTATTGTGAAACTCGTAAGAGTGATCTGTGGATAACAAAGAGTTGTAAAGGAGGAAGTTCTATTGCAGAACCCCATGTGGATTGTTGTGACTTTGTTTTTGTTTAATAACACTCTGAAGTTGGAGAGCGATTGTCTCAAAGTTTGACATGAGGAGGACCTCCGAGAATTATTTCCTTTTCCATCAGTCTGAAGGATGACAGCTAACAAGCTGAAACTAAACCTGGACAAGCTAGAATTAAGTTGTTTGGGGATTTTGTGCATTAAGGGAAAGCAAAGGTGCCCACAATTAATTCATTAATCAGATTCATAGATGTACTCTTGAGCCTGGAACTCGCCTTAGAAAACCCAGTGGAGGCAGTGGGCTTTACCAGCTTTGCTTAATCCAAACATATAATATTGTAGTCTGCAGGGAAATCTAGCAAACGCCACATGTGCCTTTGTGACTTTTGAAGGTCAATTGCTCCAATATTCTTTGTGTGTGGTTCCCTTCAGAACTCTTGGACGTCTAAAGTTAGCGCAGGATTTGACTGCCGTTCTCAGTAAGCATAATAAGAAAGGGAAATTATTGCTTTAGACGACCTAAATGATAGTTTTCTGTCACATTATAGCTGTTGGCTGTGAGATGTGGAGTTTGGAGGCCCAAGATACCTTTAATTGCTCTGCCATCTCCTGCTGCTTTTTCATCTACTAAGATCAAGAGAAGCCTTGCTGTAGTTCCCACTAATCTAATTAGAAAGCCAGATTAGTGGAGAAATGCAGAATTTTTTTTAGTCGTGTTCCCAATACTATAGCATTTGCTAGAAGATCTGTGTTGGAAAAAAAGATAATGCTTTCCAAAGTGGAGTGCTCTAGAAATAAGGTAGACCAGTTGACTTTGGAAGAGCTGAGGAAGGCAGTGGTTGATTTGGGATCTTGATGGTCACTCATTCATTGCATTGCCATACATCAGTGGTTCTCAACCTTCCTAATGCCGTGACCTCTTAATATACTTCCTCATGTTGTGGTGACCCCCAACCATGAAACTATTTTTGTTGCTACTTCATAACTGTAATTTTGCTACTGTTATGAATCATAATGTCAATATCTGATATGCAGGATGTATTTTCATTCACTGGACCAAATTTGGCACAAAGACCCGATATGCCCAAATTGGACTACTGGTTGGGTCTAATCTATCTAATCACTGTCACCGTTCTTTTTGTCACATGTACACACACACCTTTTCCCCAAGATTGGGACTCCTGGCAACTCTTGCTCACTTCCATCAGCGGTTAGTATAATTGAAGGTGTGTGGCAGAATGAAAATCACACATAATTCACATCTTTACCAATCCACACACTGTCTTGCTAGAGAAAAGATATGCCACTGGACCACATTTGGCATAAATACCTGAATCTGAATGCTGATTGGGTTGGGAAGGAATTGATTTTGTCATTTAAGAATTGTAGTTGATTTATAGTTCACCTACAATCAAAGAGCATTCTGAACCCCACCAACAATAGAATTGGACCAAACTTCCTTCACAGAACCCCCATGACCAACAGAAAATACTGGAAGGGTTTGGTTGGCATTGATCTTGAATTTTGGAGTTGTAGTTCACCTACATCCAGAGAGCACCGTGGACTCAAACAGTGATGGATCTGGACCAAACTTGGCACGGATACCCAATATGCCCAAATGTGAACACTGGTGGAGTTTGCAGAAAAGAGACCTTGACATTTGAGAGTTTTTAGTTGTTGGGATTTATAGTTCACCTACAATCAAATAGCATTCTGAACTCTATCCACAATAGAATTGGGCCAAATTTCCCACACAAAATCCCCATGACCAACAGAAAATTCTGTGTTTTCTGATGGTCTTTGGTAACCCCTCTGACACCCCTCATGACCACCCCCCTCCCAGGGGTCCCGACCACCAGGCTGAGAAACACTGCCATATATCAAAGTCGATTTGATGGCAAAGAACAACTGAAGTACTTCAAGGGTGTATGTGTGCAACAAATAGAGGTTGGGCAGGGGAATATAACTTCTTGCTGGAAGGAGTCATGATAGGTTGCTACCTGTCAGGATGATGCTTCGAATAAAGCTTCAGCTGCTTTAGACAGTTTTTTAGCCCTATTTCCAAGGACTATTCTCTTCATAATCGCTTGGTTTTTCTTCCTCCAATCTTAGAAAAGAAAAAAAAACTTCTGAAAATACAAAGAACTTAAAAAGTAGCTTGGCAACCATGCAGTCCTTCACATGGGGAAGGGTTTAATGAGAAGTTCCTTTCCAAAACAGCAAAGTCAAATGTTCTCATAGAGAAGAAAAGTTTATTTGGGGGAAAGTAGAAAACAAGAGGAACAGAGGTACATTGCAGACAACATGGTATGAAAGAGAACGCATTGGGCCTCCTGATGAGAAGGTTGGAAAAAAGTTTAAAGCAGGGGTCCTCAAACTAAGGCCCGGGGGTCGGATACGGCCCTCCAAGGTCATTTACCCGGCCCTCACTCAATCTGAAGGACTTGAAAGCACGCAACAACGACAACAACAGTCTTATCTCATCAGCCAAAAGCAGGCCCACACTTCCCATAGAAGTACTAGTAAGTTTATATTTGTTAAAATTGTTCTTCATTTTAATTATTGTATTGTTTTTAAGTTTTTTTGCACTACAAATAAGATATGTGCAGTGTGCATAGGAATTCATTCATGTTTTTTTCAAATTATAATCTGGCCCTCCAACAGTTTGAGGGACTGTGACCTGGCCCTCTGTTTAAAAAGTTTGAGAACCCCTGGTTTAAAGGTTACAAAAAGACAAAAGCCTCTTCTACACTGCCATATAAAATCCAGATTATCTGCTTTGAACTGGATTATATGGCAGTGAAGACTCATATAATCCACTTTAAAGTAGATAAAGTAGATTATCTGCTTTGATAATCTGGATTATATGGCAATGTAGAAGGGTCTCCAGTCACCCCATGCTTGAATTATAAAAGAGTTGTCAAGATCTACTGGAACAGAATTTTTCAGACATTGCATGTTGGTGACACATTTTTTAGACATGCGCTATTTTGCAAAACAGTAATTTAGTTTTATTAGCAGTGCAGGACTACTGATCGAAAGGTCAGTGGTTCAAATCTGCAAGATGGGGTGAGCTCCCATCTGTCAGCTCCAGCTTCCAATGGGAGAACATGAGAGAAGCCTCCCCCGGAATGGTAAGATATCCAGACGTTCAATGGCCAACATCCTTGCAGACGGCCAACTCCCTACACCAGAAGTGACTTGCAGTATATTCTCAATTTGCTTCTGACATGATAAAAAAAAGGTTTTACTAGAAAACCAGAGGTTCAACCAACCCCTTATAAGAGATATGAGCACATACAAAAGCCCAATATATGTCATATTTATATTTTTAATGTATGATTTATAAATATATGATTTATTGTATTGTCGAAGGCTTTCATGGCCGGAATCACTGGGTTGTTGTAGGTTTTTTCGGCTATATGGCCATGGTCTAGAGGCATTCTCTCCTGATGTTTTGCCTGCATCTATGGCAAGCATCCTCAGAGGTAGTGAGGTCTGTTGGAACTAGGAAAAAGGGTTTATATATCTGTGGAATGACCAGGGTGGGACAAAGGACTCTTGTCTGCTGGAGCTAGGTGTGAATGTTTCAACTGACCACCTTGATTAGCATATAATGGCCTGACAGTGCCTAGAGCAAACTTTTGTTGAGAGGTGATTAGATGTCCTTGTTTGTTTCCTCTCTGTTGTTGTGCTGTTGTAATTTTAGAGTTTTTTAATACTGGTAGCCAGATTTTGTTCATTTTCAGGCACTGTCAGCCCATTATATGCTAATCAAGGTGGTCAGTTGAAACATTCACACCTAGCTCCAGCAGACAAGAGTCCTTTGTCCCACGCTGGTCATTCTACAGATATATAAACCCATTTTCCTAGTTCCAACATACCTCACTACCTCTGAGGATGCTTGCCATAGATGCAGGCGAAACCTCAGGAGAGAATGCCTCTAGACCATGGCCATATAGCCCAAAAAAACCTACAACAACCCATATGATTTATTTCTTATTTCACATAAACTCAGAAGTTTCTTATTATATTTGTGTGACATACGTACACACTACCACCAACACATGAACATGTCGCATCACACAGTTTGGGAAATTTGGTACTAAGTACAGATCTTAAGTACTGGATAGTTGGGGAAAATAAAAAAGGTACGATTTGGCTTATTTGGGTTTCTCAGCGTTGTGCCAACTTACCAGATACTGCAGGGGGAGCTGATGAACTACATCAAAAGGTGGTGGTTTTGTCACCGCTGCTTTCAGCAATTTTGGTAAAATACCATAGAAATAAACAAGACAGGTTGCAGGGGAAAAAATGCTTCCTTGAGTGAACAGCGGGGGACCATATCTAGCATTTTTTAAAATACATGAGATACCGTATTTGTAATATGTGCAACAAAGCATCTAAAATCAACTGCTGAGAAGTCACTGAATTCACAGTCAGTTTTGAGTCCATTTAAGATGTGGGTGCATTAGTTTTAAATAATCTGTCTCTCTTTTTGCTTGATAGCTTCTGGCACGACTCGAGGGCAGAGATTCACTGAAAGATCTTGAACCTTGTCTGTTTGCTGAAGAAGGACATCCCATTCATGGTAAAATATACACAGAGGGACACTTTTAAACTTGAGATAATGTGTTGTAGTAGATCAGTGGTTCTCAACCTGTGGTTCCCCAGGTGTTTTGGCCTACAACTCCCAGAAATCCCAGCCAGTTTACCAGCTGTTAGGATTTCTAGGAGTTGAAGGCCAAAACATCTGGGGAACCACAGGTTGAGAAGCACTGTAGTAGATGAATGTTGAGAGGTGGCTGCCAAGGTAGCGGAAATGATCAATATTTTCTAATGTTACACCATTAAGCTGTATCTCTGGCATTGGAAAGGGTCCAAATCTCTGCTTGGCCACAGAAGCCCATTGGGTGTTCTTGGACAACTCACACTCTCTCAGCCTCAGAGGGAGGCAAATCCTTTCTGAACAAAATCTTACCAAGAAAACCGCACAACAAGCTCATTTTAGGGTCACCATTAATCAGAAACAACTTGAAGGTACACAATAACCCTCATGAATACAAACTCAATGCAAATATGCACATTTTATGTAAAGGTAAAGGTTTACCCTTGACATTAAGTCTATTCAACTCAAGCTGGCATTGTCCGTAGATGCCTCCTAGGTCATGTGGCTGGCATGACTGCATGGAACACCGTTACCTTCCTGCCGAAGCAGTACCTATTGCTCTACTCACATTTGCATGTTTTTGAACTGCTGGGTTGGCAGAGCTGGGCCTAATACTTACTTACTTACTTATTTACTTACTTACTTACTTACTTAGGCAATCCCTCGTAGGCCGAGTAGGATAGTCTTCCTGGATCAATGTTCTGGTGGGTGTGTAGGTGACTGTGGAGCCCTATTTCTTGACCTGCATCTTCTCCCACAGTGAGAGCATTGGTTTCCAGGAGGAAGGCGGTGTCAGTCGGGGTTGGTTTGATGCGCTTTCATCTTGGCACATTTCTCTCTTTCACCCTCCATTCGTGCCTCTTCAAATTCTACAGCACTGCTGGTCACAGCTGACCTCCGGCTGGAGCGCTCAAGGGCCAGGGCTTCCCAGTTCTCAGTGTCTATGCCAGAGTTTTTAAGGTTGGCTTTGAGCCCATCTTTAAATCTCTTTTCCTGCCCACCAACATTCCGTTTTCCGTTCTTGAGTTCGGAGTAGAGCAACTGCTTTGGGAGACGTTGGTCAGGCATCCAGACAACATGGCCGGTCCAGCGGAGTTGATGGTGGAAGACCATTGCTTCGATGCTGGTGGTCTTTGCTTCTTCCAGCACGCTGACATTTGTCCGCTTGTCTTCCCAAGAGATTTGCAGGATTTTCAGAGGCAGCGCTGATGGAATCATTCTAGGAGTTGCATGTGACGTCTGTAGACAGTCCACGTTTCGCAGGCATATAGCAGGGTTGGGAGGACAATAGCTTTATACAAGCACCTTGGTATCCCTACGGATGTCCCGGTCCTCAAACACTCTCTGCTTCATTCAGAAAAATGCTGCACTTGCAGAGCTCAGGCGGTGTTGCATTTCGGTGTCGATGTTGACTTTGGTGGAGAGGTGGCTGCCAAGGTAGCGGAAATGATCAATATTTTCTAACGTTACACCATTAAGCTGTATCTCTGGCATTGGAAAGGGATTAGCTGGTGACTGCTAGAACAGCACTTTGGTTTTCTCAATGGGCCTAATAGCAGGAGCTCACCCTGTTCCCTAGATTCAAACCACCGACCTTTCAGTCACCAAGTTCAGCAGCTCAGCGGTTTAACCCGCTGCGCCACCAAGGGGTCCAAAATTTAAGAATATCACCAATTTCTTCTAAGGCAAGTTCAAAAGTAACAGACAGGTTTTGAAAGCAAAATATACTAGGAGCCTGGCAGAAGCTGGGGCTAACAGCGGGGGCTCACTCCGTCCCGCAGATTTGAACCGCCCATCTTCCAGTCAACAAATTCTGTAGCTTAGCAATTTAAGCCATTGCGCTACAGCAGCCCCACATTTTATGCATAGCAAGTATTTTTCCTTCTCACATTCCAACTATAAACATTCAGAGAGACCTGACCTAGTGTGGCACCTTAAGGAAGCCTTGTTTTGTTGTACACTGAACATTTAATGTATCTGCCTTTCATCTATTTATAAATAACAATTATAATCCTGCCTGCATTTTGATGGGACTTCACTTTAAGTACTTACAGCTTTCATTCCCAGATCTCAAAGTAAAATGATGTTGTCTTTATTCCTTTGTACAAGACTCCAGAGGGAGATTTTCCTCAAAATATTGTATTGTTCTGTCACCTGGATTTAACAGTAGTTCTCTTTTTCTTCTGTAGTCAAATTTATTTCTGAACAAGGTAATTATTTAAGAATTTTTTGTCCAAAGAGGCACCAGTGACATTTTCCCGCCTCTGGGCATTTCTCTCCTTGTCTTTAGTGCCATTTCTCCCCTATTAGTGCCCGTATATTCAGGAAATACTTCAATTAAAGTCACTCTCTTTTAACATTGCTTGATTGCAGCTGTTAAATATGTCCAAAATGACTTTTATTTTGGATCAGAACATGGTATGTGTGTGTTAAGCCTGAAAACTAAATGGTTCTGTCTAGTTCTTGAGTAGGAGATGGCTTTTCAAGCTGAAACATTTGTTTCTTTGGGTTGCTGCAAGTTTTCTGGACTGTATGGCCATGTTCCAGAAGCATTCTCTCCTGACATTTCTCCCACATCTGTGGCAGGCATCCTCAGAGGTTGTGAAGTCTGTTGAAAACTTGGCAAGTGAGGTTTATATATCTGTGGAATAATGTCCAGGGTGGGAGAAAGAACTCTTGTCTGTTTGAGGCTAGTATGAATGTTGCAATTGGCCAGCTTGATTAGCATGGAATAGCCCTGCAGTTTCAAAGCCTATTGGAAATTCCATAACGTATTGGAAATAAGTGCACCATAACCTTATTAAAAAGGTAAAAGTGATGTCCATGAATTTCCATGAACATGTGCAGACCATCTTTTGAAAAGCACTAGTCAAGGAAAGCATGACCTTGTTAGAAGTCAACTCTTTGAGTAAGTGATATTCATAAGCAGTCGTGTAATGGCACACAAGTAACTCAGCTGTTAAACTGAAGAACCACGGAGAAAGACATGCCACTACAAAAATATATTTGGTTAGCAGAGGATGGTTGTATCTCTGAAGTAGAAGTTGCAGTGGTAATTGTAATTGCAAGTTGCACAAAATAAATACACTCCCCTGAAATTCTTAGTTTAAAAAGGCACTCAAAGTCTTTAAAAATAATATCTCAGGTTTACTAACAAGCTTCTTGCATAAATTCACAAATGAAGATGTCGTTTCTTCTCTGTATTGAGTACTTACTTACTTAGGCAATCCCTCATAGTCCGAGGATGATGGTCCTCCAAGATTGGTGTCCTGGGGGTGAGTCTGTAGGTGACTGTGGAGCCCTATTCTTGATCTACATCTTCTCCCACAGTGAGGGCATTGGTTTCCAGGTGGAAGGCGGTCCCGGTCGGGGTTGGCTTGACGCGCCTTCCTCTTGGCATGTTTCTCTCTTTCGCCCTCCATTTGTGCCTCTTCAAATTCTACAGCACTGCTGGTCACAGCTGACCTCCAGCTGGAGCGCTCAAGGGCCAGGGCTTCCCAGTTCTCAGTGTCTACGCCACAGTTTTTAAGGTTGGCCTTGAGCCCATCTTTAAATCTCTTTTCCTGTCCTCCAACATTCCGTTTTCCATTCATGAATCATAGAATCATAGAGTTGGAAGAGACCTCATGGGCCATCCAGTCCAACCCCCTGCCAAGAAGCAGGAATATTGCATTCAAATCACCCCTGACAGATGGCCATCCAGCCCCTGTTTAAAAGCTTCCAAAGAAGGAGCCTCCACCACACTCCGGGGCAGAGAGTTCCACTGCTGAACGGCTCTCACAGTCAGGAAGTTCTTCCTCATGTTCAGATGGAATCTCCTTTCTTGTAGTTTGAAACCATTGTTTCGCGTCCTAGTCTCCAGGGAAGCAGAAAACAAGCCTGCTCCCTCCTCCCTGTGGCTTCCTCACACATATTTATACATGGCTAAATATGTGAGAGGAAGCCACATATTGAGTTCGGAGTAGAGCAACTGCTTTTGGAGATGGTGGTTGGGCATCTGGACGACGTGGCCGGTCCAGCGGAGTTGATGGCAAAGGACCATCGCTTCAATGCTGGTGGTCTTTGCTTCTTCCAGCACACTGACATTTTTCCGCTTGTCTTCCCAAGAGATTTGTAGGATTTTTCAGAGGCAGCGCTGATGTAATCGTTCCAGGAGTTACATGTGACGTCTGTAGACAGTCCACGTCTCGCAGGCATATAGCAGGATTGGGAGGACAATAGCTTTATAAACAAGCACCTTGGTATCCCTACGGATGTCCCAGTCCTCAAACACAGGGTACAATACTTACTGAGTTGTCCATAGCCTTTAAGTATAGCTGTACTCGCTGAAGTCCATAAGTTATACTTCTCTACTAAAGTCTAAACAGTAACATGCATCCACCTCCACTGAGGTCTGATGCAAAACACATTCACCTCCAATGAGGTGATAAGCAGACTAAATATAAAATGGATTCCTGAGTCTGCACATGCTCAGGACAATAATATCTATTAACTCATCCCACACCAAAGAGATAAGTCAAACTGGCAAATCATCATAATAATAAAAAACTTTATTTATACCCTGCCACCATCTCCCCAACGGGGACTCGGGGAGGCTTACATGAGGCCAAGCCCAAACAACAATTACAATAAAATAAAACACAGACACACAACAACAACGCAATAAAATACAAAAACCTGGATACACTAAGAAATACAAAATATAAAATACAATATCCACAATTACAATGACATCGAGCAGGCCGCATGTACAGGAAAAACACTAAAAACATACATATAGAATACAGGTTAGCAAATATATACATCAACAAATAAATAGTGAAAGACTTGGGAGGCTTCTATTTCCAGCTATAGATCTGCTGCTTCCAGATATATAAACCTCACTTGCCAATGGTAATATGGACGACGAAACTGGATCACGATTTTAGTCATGAGATGCATTGGGTTGTTGTGTCAATATTGTGTATTATGCTTTTATGGTTTTAAATTGTATATTGTTGACTGTTGTACCTTTGTTGTAAACCGCGTTGAGTCGCCTGTTAGGCTGAGAAACTGCGGTATACAAGTAAAGTAAAGTAAATAAATAAATAAATAAATTTCCAACAGACCTCACAACCTCTAAAGATGCCTGCCATAGATGTGGGCAAAACGTCAGGAGAGAATGCTTCTGGAGCATGGCCATACAGCCTGGAAAACTCACAGTAACCCAGTGATTCTGACAATGAAAGCCTTCAACAACACTTGTTGCTTTATTTGTTGAACAGGAGATTTTGTTGAATTCTATGGCCCAGAAGGGGCAGGAAAAACAGAAATGTTCTACCATCTTATTGCCCGTTGCATTCTTCCAAAATCGAGAGGTGGTTTGGAAGTTGGCTTGCTTTTCATTGACACAGACTTTCATTTTGACATGCTGCGCTTAGTGACTATTTTGGAACACAGATCGTCCCAAGGCACAGAAGATATGATAAAGCAGTGTCTGCGGAGGTTGTTTCTTGTTAATTGCAGCAGCAGCTCTCAGTTGCTTCTCACCCTTTATTCTCTGGAAAACATGTTTTGCTCTCACCCTTCGCTCTGCCTCCTGATTATTGACAGCATATCAGCTTTTTATTGGATTGATCGAGTCAACGGAGGGGAGAGCATTAGTCTACAGGAAGCAAACTTAAGGAGATGTGCTCAGTTCCTTGAGAAGCTTGTCAGAGAGCATCATTTAGTTCTGTTTGCAACGACTCAGGCAATTATGCAGAAATCACTGAATGCTGCCGAAAGCTCCAGAAAACACAACGGTGATGGAGATGTGGATTACCGGCCTTACCTCTGCAAGTCATGGCAACAGCTGATAACCCATCGGGCCTTTTTCTCCCGACAGTGCCGTCCAGACAACACCCAAAGTTTTTCTATTACTACTTGTGATATCCGAAACAACTCAGTGATAAAACGCCCATTTAGCATTTTGGAAAGTGGGGTCCAGTTTTAACAGTGGGCTACTTTTAAAAGGGACTGTTGACACTACAGTAAAATCCATGTAAACATTGTATACTGTTTTTTTTAAAGAGTAAGATAACTTTTACATGTTTCTACTGCTGTTTCTTAAAATGTTGTTTTAAAAGCCACATGATTGTTTATTATTTTGTCACTTTAAGAAATCAGGTTGAAGTTTAATGTAAAATTTAATAATAATAATAAATAAAATTTATTTATATTCCGACACCATCTCCCAAAAGGGACTTGGGGTGGCTTACAAGACACTGCAATGCAGTATATAACATAAACAATACATGAGTCCAAAACAATATCAGATACAAAATTATAAAACAACCACTATCAACACATAAAAAATTAAATAGCACAATTTAAAATGTAAAACCATCAGTAGTTAAAACTAGCTGCCATCAATTCAAATTAAAGTGCCAGAGTGTCAACCTCATGTACTTACTTACTTACTTAGGTGATCCCTCGTAATCCGAGGATGATGGCAGTGGGTCCGTAGGTGACTGGAGCCCTATTCTTGACCTGCATCTTCTCCCACAGTGAGAGCATCGGTTTCCAGGTGGAAGGCGGTCCCGGTCGGGGTTGGCTTGACGCGCCTTCCTCTTGGCACATTTCTCTCTTTCACCCTCCATTCATGTCTCTTCAAATTCTACAGCACTGCTGGTCACAGCTGACCTCCAACTGGAGTTCTCAAGGGCCAGGGCTTCCCAGTTCTCAGTGTCTATGCCAGAGTTTTTAAGGTTGGCTTTGAGCCCATCTTTAAATCTCTTTTCCTGCCCACCAACATTCTGTTTTCCGTTCTAGAGTTTGGAATAGAGCAACTACTTTGGGAGACGGTGGTCGGGCATTCGGACAGTGTGGCCAGTCCAGCGGAGTTGATAGCAGAGGAGCATCGCTTCAATGCTGGTGGTCTTTGCTTCTTCCAGCACGCTGACATGTGGGCCCATATCAGCCTACTCAAGACCAAAAGCCTGCTTAAAAATCCATGTTTTTAGGCTGAATTGGAAAGATTCAAGGGTGGGAGCTAATCTAATTTCCTTCGGGAGGGTACTCCAGAGTCAGGGAGCCACCACAGAGAACACCCTCTCACTTGTCCCCACCAACTGCATTTGAGATGGTGGTGGCACTGAGAGAGGGGCCTCCCCTGCCAATGTCAAAGCCCACGTCGGTTCATAGAAAGATTCAGCTATGCAAAACTAATGAAACATTGCTTGGTTTTAAAACCCATCTTCCAGAAATGGATGCTGGCTATTGGCCTCATACCTTACACTTAAGGCTTGAATCTGTCAGTTAAATAGGATTATATTAGTACATTTAAGTCTGCTGTGCATGATAAACACAAGAACATAACGGTCAGCTCTCCACATTTTTTGGAGCTAGACTTCAGTGAAAGTGGGAAAACTGCAAATAAAAGAACACTTTTTATTGGCATGAGTATCTCTGGAATCTCTAGGGCAGTAGTTCTCAACCTGTGGGTGCCCAGGTGTTTTGCCCTACAACTCCCTGAAATCCCAGCTAGTATACCAGCTGTTAGGATTTCTGGGAATTGAAGGCCAAATCATCTAGGGACCCACAGGTTGACAAACACTGCTCTAGGTCCTCTCACCACAATCTGTGGTCTACTTACACCAGAAGCTGACCATAGAATCATATTAAAGGAACTAGAGCAAACATGGGCAAACTTTGGCGCTCCAGGTGTTTTGGACTTCAACTCCCACAATTCCTAACAGCCATGTTTTTGTGTTTTTGAAGTCCAAAACACAAAGATGGCCAAAGTTTGTTCATACCTGACCTAGAATTTCTTAGGGCCCCTCCACACAGTCCTATATCCCAGAATATTAAGGCAGAAAATCCCACAATATCTGTTTCGAACTGGGTTGTCCGAGTCTACACTCAGACAATGTGGGATTTTCTGCCTTGATGTTCTGGGATATAGCACTGTATGGAAGGGCCCTCAGAGAAAACAATCAGATCTATACAAGCCAAACTTACAAGAGAGGAGCAACTAAAGGTGAAAAAAGGCTTTTAATCTAGTATCTCAGGTTCCAACTAAGTATCAATCAATATGGAAAAGAACAATATTGAATATTGAATTGAGTGGGAGTTCCTTCTGTACATCAATGTGTACAATTTCAATCTCACCTGGGGTTAAACTGGAGTATATTCTCTAATCCAGCCTTTGGGTTTTGTTGCAGTTCTAAATATTGAAAACCACACAAGAAGAGAACAAATAAACACAGTTCTTTGAAGAAGAGCTGCTCGTGTGATGTCTCAGAAGTTTGGTTTTCTGAAGAATTTACAAGAAACATGTCAGAATTTCAGTAAACCAGCTCAAGCTATTGAGAAATCCCCTCTAGTTTTGGCAAAAAGAGACCACATTAAAACCATAAAGCCGCCCTGAGTCACCCTTCGGGGATTGAGAAGGACGGGGTAGAAATGTTGGAAATAAATGCTAATTGCTTTGTAAATTACACAGTCCTCTGAGTTATGTATAAACTAAGGACACAACATTTTAAAAACGTAAACTTCTAGAGAAATAAAAAAATTATAGGTAAACTATTATTTATTTATTTACAGTATTTATATTCCGCCTTTCTCACCCCGAAGGGGACTCAGAGCGGATCACAGAACACATATACGGCAAACATTCAATGCCATTATACAATGACATGACAGTACATGGATAGAGGTATATAGGCTTTCCCATCTTTGGCATCTTGGAGACTGTGCTCAGTTCTGGTCACAGGAAGGTGCTGTCGCTCCGTCTTCCCTGCTGAAGAGCTTTATTCATAAACTTTCTCCTTGATTGAATCGTCGACATTTTTCCTGGCATTTTCTTATGGGTGCCTTAAATACCTCCCCGCTTAAAGCGCTACCTATTTATCTACTCACAATTACTGTTTTCGATCTACTAGGTACGCAGAAGTTGGGCTGAAGGCCAGGAGCTCACCCCGACCCAGGCTTTAAACTCTCAACCTTTTGATTGGCAATATTTCACTGCAGCTGGATGTTAACCTGCTGTGCTAAAGCCCAGCCCTCTGGTAGCCTTTCATAAATTGATGATAATGACTGGAATTCTACCTGGCATAGGTAATTACATATGCATAACTAAATAGTATCTCCTGGCCCGACCCTGCCTCCGATATGCTTTGAAAGGCAGCAGCCAGATCAGGCAAATGAGATCTCATTCTGTGAGTGATAATGGTACAGGAAGATGGGATTTCCACTTCACTTTTGCCTGCTAGCAAAGATGTGATGATCAGAAGCAGGATCCCTATCACAATTCCTTGTTGCCAAGTGGGAATAGATTTAAATTCTCTTGTCCCCTGATCACCAGTTTCACTTGATCTAGCTGGTTTGTGATAAAATAGATTTGGGAATAAATTAACAATCAAAACAATAGCACCGCAATCCTGAGTACATAATACATAATATTCGTAAATACGGATCAATGACTAATGCATATACTGTACACCCATAATCGCAATCAAAACAATAGCACCACAATCCTGACTACATAATATTTGTGAATGCGGATCAATTACTAATGCATATACTGTACATCCATAATCGCAATCTTGAATTCCAGCCAATATTTATTAGTTACTTGGGAACTTAGATGAAAAATGGTATGTATATGCTGACTATCTTGTTACAGACATTACAACAACCTCTTAAGGAAAGTCAATACTGTACTGTTGCTCCATAACAGGGCCAGAATTCCAACTCTGAATGAACAAGAGCAATTTTGTCTTGTCTGAATATATTTCTTCTTTAGTCAACATAAATTTAACTGCTCAAGAGATGTTATAGTAAGCAAACTAAATGTACTTTAGACTAAATGTAGTCATGCGTACTTCATCACACTAGAGAATGAATCCACTTTAAATCCGGTTTCAGCCTCCTGCAGAATTCTGGCGTTTGTAGTTTAGTGAGGCTGTTAAAGGCTCTTCCCTAAACTAGGAATCCCAGAATTCTGCAAGAGGCAGCAACTGTATTTAAAATGGATTCATTTGCTAGTGTGATGAGGTTACAGTTGGTTAATGTGAGTTTTTAGGTACAGCAGTGTGCGTTTGAGCAAACTACTAGACATTTTGGTGGATGTTACTTGTGGATATGTACATATTTAAGTGCCCTCTCAGTTTGTTGGAGAATGAAAAGGTGCAAAAAGGCGATATCAGTGGATTGGCTCTATCCATAACTAAGTCTAATCCACCAGGCCAAAGTATGAATTTTCCACTAGAACATGTCTCCTTTAGGAGAAATACATCCCACTTGCTTCTGGAGCAACATCAGTAAATAAAATACTTTCCTTAAAAAGCAATTATTTTGATGATAAACAGTGCATAATACATTGGGTTGTTGTAGGTTTTTTGGACTATATGGCCATGTTCTAGAAGCATTTTCTCCTGACGCTTGGCCTGCATCTATGGCAGGTATCCTCAGAGGTTGTGAGGCAAAATGTCAAGAGACAATGCTTCTAGAACAGTGGTTCTCAACCTGGGGTCCCCAGATGTTTTTGACCTTCAACTCCCAGAAATCCCAACAGCTGGTAAATTGGCTGGGATTTCTGGGAGTTGTAGGCCAAAAACATCTGGGGACCCCAGGTTGAGAACAACTGTTCTAGAAAATGGCCATATATCCCAAAAACCTACAATAACCCAGTGATTCCGGCCATGAAAGCCTTCAACAATGCATAATACATTATCTGGCTGTAGAATTACTTCTATGTGGATGAATTTCCACAACTATATTTTATGGTCTAAAAGTGAACTGCTAACCAAACTGATTCTAGAGTTGACCTGTACAATCAGTTGTAAATACTGAACCAATCTTACATCAATCCCATTGAATTAAGTCCTCTGAAATCTACATGCTGAAAACAGATTGCTGAAGCCAGAAATGCCTGTCCAGATAGGGACACAGCTGGGCTGTCAACTGAAATGAGTAGAAGAGGCACCATACCAGTTGAGCCTAAAGTAATAGTAATGAATCCAAGAGAGCCCTCTAGCTATAAACCTGCTTCTTCATAGTACAGCACCAGCCAGAACAGGCTGAACATCATTCCTTTGGACAGGAGAATCAATCACTAACAGTATCTTGGTTCTTGGATTCAGTATCTTGGATTAAGCCACAATTCATTGGCCTCCATTCGCGC